GTGTTCAGGTGTGTGTGTGTGAGAGAGACAGAGACAGACAGACAGACAGACAGAGGTTGGGGATCGTGTTTGGTAAAGAGAGGAGGACAGGAATTCAGGAAATCGGAATCTCCTAAGCACAGACGGCTTCTCCGGCAGCCTCGTGTGATTTACAGTCTGAGGACCCAGAGGTATCGCCATGCCTCTCAGCCGAAGTGGAAAAGCTCCAGGTGTGAGAAAACCGCGTCAGTTGGAGACACGGAGACCAGGGATTTGTCACTGTTTGCACACAAGTTGGGTGGGCATGACGAATGTCCCTCCCTGTACACTGCCAATTCTCAGAGAACAAATTGTACTCACTACGGGGAGACTGGACTTGGAGTCAAAAACCCGGTTGGGCTACCCCTTCTCTGGACATCATTCCAGGTCACGTCACGAGGTGGCGGCAGAAACCCCTGCCTGGGCCATCTCACAGCGGGGCCCCGTGGAGACTTCATCCCAAAGTAGTCTGCCCAGGCTGGGCACCCACAAGACTCAATAACATCAATCACTGGCTTGCTACATCTTTGAACAAAAAGTCAAGAAAAGAAGTGAGCCGGCGTGTGGCCGTGCCACCCACCCCGAGAGATCTCTTTCCCCTTCCTGGAACTCGGGTTATTTTCAAGAGTGGAATTCTAAGGTGGGATTCAAATACCTTAAAGGTTCCACTGAGGGCCGCTCACCTGTGGAACCAGAGTAGAAATGGAATGGGCAATGCTCACGGCCACTGAGTCAATTCCAACTCATAGCGACCCCCAAGGACAGAGTCAAATGACTCTTTCGGTTTTCTGGCCTGTAAATATTTAGGAGAGCAGCCAACCTTCTCTTTCTCTGGAGGAGGAGCTTGTGGATTTGAACTGCTGACCTCGTGGTTAGAAGCGCAATTCATAATGGGAACAGGACAAGGCAAATTTAAGTTCGACTTCAAATAACGTCCAATTCCTGTCATGGCGAGCCAGTCCTTTGCATGGGACGGAATCAGAGATGGAGGTGCTTCCAGGGAATCTCCTCTGACCACAGCCTGGGAATCTCAATAGACTTGCCATCAGAGAGAGAGAGCATTGAAAAGTGGATTATGGGAGATGTAGTTAGGCTGCAATGCACCTTATCATTTGATCTTCCCTCTGACCCATTTTAAAACCAGAAATCGTTTTACTGGGGGCTTGTACAGCTCTTATCACCATCCATGCACACATCCATTGTGCCAAATACATTTGTACATTTGTTGCCATCATCATTTTCAAAACATTTTCTTTCTACTTGAGCCCTTGGTATCAGCTCATTTTCCCCCTCCCCAGCCCTCCCTCCCTCATGAGCCCTGATGATTTATAAATTAATATTTCTTTCATGTCTTACACCCAGCGCTGAGTCCCTTCACCCTCTTTACTATTGTCTGTCCCCCAGGGAGGGGGTTATATGTCGATCATGGTGATTGGCTCCCCCTTTCTCCCTGCACCTTCCCTTTACCCTCCTGGTATCACTACTCTCTTTATTGGCTTCTGACCCATTTTAAAGTCCTCTCCATTTTTAATGTCTTCTGCCTTTTTTAGTTGAGGTTTTTCTATGTGGTGTCTAATCATTTTGTTTGTTGGCTTCCCATTTACGTTTTGTATGATCTTTCTCTCGAGGAAATCTGGGACAGGCCGAGCTATAGAGACAGTAACTGGATGGGTAGGTACCTGCTTGGCCTGGCAGGGGAGGCTGGGGGAGTGGGGAGCTAACAACAAGGAGTCCGGAAGAAAATGCTCTGAAATGGGTTGCCATGAGGACGGCACACATTTCTTCATGCGATCGAATGAAGCATCTGCCAATAAAACTCTGTGTACAGAAAGATGGAGGCCTGTGAGCCGTCATTCATTTCTCCTCCTAGTTCCGAGGCTGAAGTTATGTAAGTCTCCTTTTCTTAGGAAGTGTGAGCCAAGAGTGGGAGATAATCATCTGTCAGGGTGTTGAGTAATGCGAATTCACCTTTGTCTTGAAAGCGCTCTCGTTGTTTTTCTTGACCAAAATGGAAACACTCGACTGTTACCAATCCACTTAGTGTTGGTTGAAACCTCCTTACAGAGTTCTATGCCTGCCGGAGCCATCCTAACATGGCCCAGGAGACTCTTTATTCCCCTCTATGTGTGGTTGCCCCCAGTTTCACTTTGGACAGTGCACATTCAGCATGAGTAGGATTGCAAGACTAAAAGTCATAAATGTAGCAGTTCTATCCTCAGCCCTATCAGCTGGGCATCATCAACAGTAACGGTTCACTGAACTACTGTGTGGGAGAATGCTTCAGCTCCGAGTACTTTCAGCAGGGTTAGGGTTTGGTCTTCCAGGGCTTGGTTTTCCGGAAGTGGATGTTCAGAATGAAGGAAGTGGTTGGCAAGATGTGTTTCGTTACCGTTTGAGGAAGTGGTAAAGAAAACGCCATGAAGACAGAGGAGGGAGAACAGAGAAATGGTCAGAGATCTTTCAGATGTTTGGCAATAGGACGTGTAATTCAGCCCTCATTCCAAGGGTTGGCCTTAATGGGAAAATTAAAGGGTGATGGTGGTGCTGTGGATTAGGTATTGGGCTGCTAATTGCAAGGCTAGTGGTTCAAACCCACCAGCAGCTACTTAGAATCAAGATGAGGCTGTCTGCTCGCATAAAGATTTACAGTATTAGAGCCGTTCTTAGCAGCTCTATGTAAAGATACTATGGGTCAGAATCATTTCAATGATAGTGCATTTGGTTTGGTTTGGGTATAAACCAGGAGGCCTGACCGAGCTGTGGGGTAAGTGTTGGGCTACTAACAGTGAGGCTGGTAGTTTAAGTCCGCCAGTCACTCCTCAGGAGAAAGATGAGGCTGTCTGCTCCCATAAAGATTTAATCTCTCTCAGAAACCCTATAAAAGGTCACTATGGGTTGGAATCAACTTGAAAGCAGTGGGGCAGCTTGGTTTCGGTTTTACATAAACCAACCCCCCCCAAAACAAACAAGCAAACAAACAAAGAATGCTTGTTTGGGATCAAACTTTACTGATCACAGAGTCAATGTTTTCTACAGGCTAGAGACATTTGACGATTCCTCGCCCTCCACCCTAGATTATACTGTAGAGAGGAGACCTGGTGGTGCAGGGGTTAAGCGCTTGCCTGCTCCCTGGAAGGGAAGTCTGCAGTTTGAACTCACCGGTGGGTCCGTGGAAGAAAAGACCTGGCAAGTTGCTCCCACAGAGATGACAGCTTAGGAAATGCTATGGGGGCAGTTCCGCTCCGTGGAATTGGGTCACTCTGGGTCAGAATCAACTCATCGGCACACCACGACGAACTACCACCCTGATTAAATTCACTGGTCGTTAGCAGAGGTCACGGTGATCACTCTGGACAAGGGGGTGTGCCCCACCCAGAGGTGTTTACAGCACCACAGGAAGTAGTGTTAACAAACCCAGGGACAAAGGAACAACAAGTGATCCAAAATCAGTGGCAAGGAGGGTGTAGGAGGCTTGGTAGGGCTTGATCAAGGGCAATGTAACCAAGAGGAATTACTGAAACCCAAATGAAGGCTGAACATGACAGTGCGGCGACAAGAGGAAAGTAAAAGGAAATAGAGGAAAGAACTAGGAGGCAAAGGGCATATATAGAGGTCTAAATACAGGCATGTACATATGTAACTATATTTATATATGACGATGGGGAAATAGATCTATGTGCATATATTTAGAGGTTTAGTATTGAGGTAGCAGATGGACATTGGGCCTCCACTCAAGTATTCCCTCAATGCAAGAACACTTTGTTCTATTAAACTGGCATTCCATGATGCACACCTTCTCCGACTTGATTGCTGAAGATAATGTGGGTGCTTAAGCAAATGTGCTGAAGAAAGCTGATGGTGCCTGGCTAGGATCTACATATAACCCCCTCCCTGGGGGACGGACAACAGAAAGGTGAGTGAAGGAAGACATTGGACAGTGTAACATATGACAAAACAATAATAATTTCTAAATTATCAAGGGTTTGTGAGGGAGGGGGAAAAATGAGGAGCTGATACCAAGGGCTCAAGTAGAAAGAAGACTTTTTGAGAAGGATGATGGCAACAAATGTACAAATGTGCTTGACACAATGGATGGATGTATGGATTGTGATAAGAGCTGTACGAGCCCCCAGTAAAAAGATTTTAAAAAGAAAAAAAAGAAATGTCTCCCCTCTAACGATGAGGCGATGGGCCAAGGACTCCCAGCCTCCCCTGCAATGTTCCTCTCCCTTTGCTTCTTTCAAGGCCCAGCACCTGGAAACCCCCAAAACAGCCCTCTCTGGAATCATGGGAGCGCGGGCACTTTTTCGACAGTGGGTGTCGCCGTTTCCTGGCGCTGCTCTAACAGGAAGACTCCACAGGTGGACTAAGGAGCAGACATCTGTCTTCCCGCGTTCAGGGCCCAGCCTCTAGAGCAGCGGTTCTCAACCTTCCTCATGCTGCGACCCTTTCACACAGTTCCTAATGTGCTGGTGACCCCCCAACCATAACATTATTTTCGTTGCTACTTCATTACTGTCACTTTGCTACCGTGATGAATCAGGGACCCCAAGGGGTCGAGACCCACAGGTTGAGAACCGCTGCTCTAGAGGAAGGCTCTCTATCCTCATTGGCTCTGGGGGGGAGACACCTGCCTCACCTTCTTCGTTCAAAGGCCTTGAGGTGCTTCCGTGGTTCCCTGACGACCTCCAGGAGGCACCTACCCTCCCTCATTTGTGCTTGCCTGTCTCTGTGTCCCATCTGCTCTTTTTATATCTCACAAGGAAGCAGGTTTAGGATACATTACCATAACAAAACCACAGTGACCACATGGGATTAGGCAGGCATTGGGGAGAGGATTTCAATAAGTAGTTTAGGGGGACATCATTTGATCCATACTCATGGGGCAATGCTCTGCAAGTGGTTGGAGACTGTAGCTCTATTCCCCCCTCCCCCCTCCCCATCCCACCTCTTGCTCTGCAGGTCCCCGGGGGCTCAGTTACCTGTCACCAGCTATTCTGCTGAGGAGGGGCTCCAGCCAGCCGGGCTGGCACTCGCAGTGGGAGTCCATGAAGACCAGCACGTCCCCTGTGGCCCTGGTGGCGCCCAGCATCCGGCCCTGGGTGGCGCCCAGCCTCTTGCTGCTCCTGAGCAACCTCACACCCTCGAGCCTGGCCACCTGCTCGCCGAGAGCCGACTTGAGCTGTCCTGGAATCAACAGGGCCGTGGTCAACTGGGTCGCAGATGTTATGGCTAAGTGACCATCACTGAGATGACTGGCCGCAAGCCTCTCTTTGACGCTCGAGGTAGCACAAGGAGTCCGGAAATCAGAGACAGAGGCAGGGAACAAAAGGGCTGCTGCTGGGGCCTCAGTCCCTACATGCACGGTTGACTCCAGGCTAAACGTGTTTCACTGGGTTGCTGTGGTCAGCGGGTGGCTGCAGGCATGCTCTCTCAGGAAGACACTTGTCTTAGTCTAGCCAGGGTGCCTTCAAAAGGTGGGTCCCGTCAAGACAGTGACTTCCGAAGGGCCTTGGTGGGCCAGTTCAACTCAAGACAGAGAGGTCAGCTCAGAAGGTTATGGTGATTGCGTTCAGGGTCCCCAAAGGGGTCATCTGGGTAGATTTTTCTGGAAGGCCACAGGATGATTGGGGGGTGGTGGGACATATAAGGAAGGAGTTTTAAGAGAATGGAAAGCTAAATACTCCTGATCATCCCATGCCTGCATCCCCCGTCCCAGCCATGTGGACTTCTCATCTGCTCTGAGAACTCTCTAAGAATGTCGCAGCACCATTTCTGCCCAGAAGGCTTTCTTTCGTGGCTAATCCTGGGCCTGGTTTCCTCGTGCCTGCTGCTCAGAAATGGATCCCGTGGCTGCAGCAGTGAGCTCCACACGGGAACCACTCTGAGGACGGCACAGGACCGGGAAGTGTTTCCTTCTGGTGTGTCGGAACCCAGCAACACCAACAGCAACCACTCTCCTCAAGAGGAGCCCTGGTGGTGTCGTGGGTGCTGCATCAGACTGCTAGCCAGCAAGCTCAGCAGTTCGAAACCGCCAGCCACCCTGAGGGAGGAAGATGAGACTGTCTACTCTCATGCAGAGTTACAGCCTTGGCACCCCCCAGGGGCGGTTCTACCCTGTCTTATAGGGCTGCCGTGGGGCATCAGGACTTGATGGCAGTGCGTTTGGTTTTCTGGACTGTGCCTAGAAGGAGCCCTTCAGCATTCAGCTGCTAATCAGAAAGTTAGTGGTTCAAATCCACTAGCTAGCTGCTCTGTGAGAGAAAACCATGACAGTCCACTTTAATCGAGATTTGCAAGCTTGGAAATTCTGTGGGGAAGTCCTACTCTGTGCTGTCGGGGACTATGCAGGGATCAGAATCAACCTGATGGCAACAGGTCAGGGTTTTTTCGGTGGTTGCTGTGACTCTACCTAGAACCAAGGAGCCCAGGTACATTGCACGTTGGCATCGGAACGCTAACCTCAAGGTCGGCAATTCAAACCCACCAACTGCTCTGCAGGGGAAATAGGAGGCTGCCTGCTCTTGTAGCGATCCGTCTTCTCAGAAATCCTGTCTAGGAGCTCTGTAAGTTGGAATCGACTAGATGGTGGTTTGGGGGTTGGTGGTGCCTTGGGTTGCTCACTGAAAGATGGGCAGTTCAAGCCCACCATCCACTCTGCAGTAGAAAGATGTGGCAATCTGCTTCCGTACAGATGGAGACCCTTGGGCACCCTATGGGGCAGTTCTCCTATGTCCTCTAGGGTTCACTACGGGTAGGAATTAGCTCAATGGCAAAGGGGTGTGATTTTGTTGTTGTGTGGCTACTGTCCATAGACGTTCACCCTCAATAACACCAACAAGAGTTACAGCCCAAATGGCCAGGTCTGCCCGAGCAGGGCCTCATGAAGTCACGTCTGGTCAGGATTTCAGTGAGTGGTTACCTTTGGCTGCAGGGACCAGAGTCGGCTACAATACTCTTAACTAACCAGAGACTTATTTTTCTTACATTATAGGAAGACAATGTTGGGTATTGGAGGGCCAGCATGGCGGGTCCAAAAGCTAGAAAAAACAAGCTAGGGGATATCTCTGTCTCCATCTTCTTAGGTACCCAGCATTGGGATGGCCTGTCCAAAGTAGTGGGTTTACTGTCCGTGGAAGCAATCAAGCGGATTGTCTAAGTCTGAGCTCTGGTTCTCAATCTGCTGCTTTCTTTGGGTGTGATTCAGCTCCAGTCAATTGTCTTTTGGGGCTGATCTCGCTTTCTTCACTTTCAAAATGAGTGGCGTGGGCAACGATGATCTCATGACTGATACAGAACCCCAGGCTTTGCCGGGTACCAGGGATGCGGGGAACACCGAGAAATTATCAGCTCTCTGCGGCTCTTCATAATTTCTTGGAGAGGGGCTTAAAGCACTGTGTGTAGGCTGGGGCCTGAGAGACACATTTCACCTAGGCTCCGCTGAAGTGACTGACCCCACCTTATCCCCTGGGACCATGGCCCAGCATGGTCCTCGCCTCCGCTGTCCTGCTTCTCGTACTGATTTCCTGGCTTCTCATTCATAAATCACTTGCACATGAATCCCCTCCTGCACCAGTGATTTCTTTAATCATTCAAGGATCTGCTGCTAGGGAACCTGGCTGAAAACCGTTTCCAAACCCCATGAGAATCAGCCAGGGTCCAGGCCAGTCCAGCAGGCCTGGAGGAAGCCTTTTGCTACCTTGCTGGCTGAGGTTGTCCACGAGGATGATCTCCTTCAGGAAAGCCCTGGGGGCCGTGTCCAGGATGCTGTGCACAGTTCTCAGCAAGGTGGCCCAAGCTTCGTCGTGGAAGCAGATGATGACGCTGGCTGTGGGCAGGCTGTCCCCGGGGTGCTGCTGCAGACACCTGTGGGGGAGACACCAAGGAGGACATGGCAAAGAGGGGCTGCGGGAGGCGGTTAGCAAGCTCTCGCTCGCTTCCCAGACCCTGGCTGTGTCCGGGGACACCGTGCCTTTTTCCCAACTCCATGGCTAGCTCTCCTGTGTGTTCCAAAAAGGATGACTACTTTACATTTCTTTCTATCTTGTTTATTAAAAGATCATTTTATTGGGGGCTCTTCCAACTCTTAGGACAATCCATCCATCTACTGTATCTGATGTGTTTGCACCTGTGTTACCATCCCTCTTTTCCAGACATTTACTTTCCCTTTAAGCCCCTGGTAGCGGCTCCTGCTCCCCCACCCCTCATGGCCCCTTCATAAATTATAAATTATTAATATTTTCATATCTGATACCAACCACTATCTCCCTTCCCCCATGGCTTCTGTTGTTTGTTCCCTTTAGTGGTGTGTGTGTGTGTGTGTGGTTATGTGTTGATTTTTGCAATTGGTTTCCCCTTCCTCCCCTCCTCTCCCCACCTTCCTCCTACCCTTCTGGTAACGCTACTTCCATTCCTGTTCCTGGATTCCGTGTGCCATGAGCTCTTATGTCTTCTCTGTACCTGTGCACATGCTCCAGTCTAGCCCTCAGTGAAAGGCAGGACTGGGGTCATAATAGTGGAAACCTCAAGGAACCAGAGGAATATTGTGTGTTTCATCGGTGCTTTACTGTGCCCTGGTTGATTCCTTCCTTCCCTGTGACTCCTCTGTGAAGGGAGGTCCCATTGTCTACAGATGGGCTTTGGATATCTGCTCTGACCCCCCTTGTTCTCAACAATATGGTTTGTTTGTTTGTTTGTTTGTTCAAGGTCTTCTGGTGGCTGTTACCCAGTCCCGACGATACCTCATGATCACACAGGCTAGTGTGCTTCTTCCATGTGGGCTTGTTGCTTCTCTGCTAGATGGCCGCTTGTTTAACTCCAAGATTTTAAAACCCCAGATGTGTATCTTTTGATAGCCAGGCATATATCTGCTTTCTTCACCACATGATAGCATGGGGGGAGCAGGGCACTAACCCACCCAGGGGGGGAGTATTGGTTATGTCTCCACAAATGTGGGAGTGTGCTGCAGAATCCACCACGGTGACCTGGAGGGCAACACAACCACATGGAGAAATGCATGAAAAAGATCGGGCCTCGGGGCCAGCCCCAATCAGAGCCAAAGGGACCCCCTCCCTAAAAGTATGTGCTACAGAGGCCAGCACTAAACTACAGGTTACAGGGAGGGGCCAGCCTGCCATGCCCGCACGGAAGCAAACAAAGAAGGAAAAAGAGAGAGTGAGGTTCTAGACCCCATATTGGCACACCAAGCTCGGAGGATGATGTCCCTGCATGGAGCTGCTAGGGCACAGAGAGGACTGTAGGGCCGACAACAGCTCACCGCATGTTTTCACCTCACTGGAGCACACCGCAACAGAGGACAATACTGGGGACATACGGCAGGGAGTTAATGTGGTGTGAACCTCCAGCCCCCAGCCCCACAGCAGGGCGAACCAAGAAGTGAGCATAACAGATCAGCAACAGGAGCAAAGCCAAGCCACAAAATCCCTAAAGAGCCCCCAGATAGGCTTCCAGCTAGGAGGGGCAGCTCCCGGAATTCCCCCAGGATCAGTGGGAAGATAGTCATGAAGGTCAGCAGACAGACGTGGAATTATGTATGGTCTTTCTCTCTCTCTCTCTCTTTCAATCTTTTGTTTTCTTTTTGTTTGGTCTCCATCATTGTTGGTTTGCCTACTTACGTAAGACAGGAATGGGGAGCCAGCCTGAGGAGAAAACAGTGGGATCGATGGTCCCAGAGGGACTGGGGGAGAAGGAGGTGGCAGAGGGAGCAGTGAGCAAACAACACCATAGACAGGGGAACAACTAGGGAATTAAAATCAACGACAAGGAGGATGGAGAGATCCTGGGGGTGATGGAGCAACAGCAATCTAGCTGAGAGGAATGACTAAGAGGCAGAAGAAGGGTGCGCATTATGGTGGGGCAGGAGGAAGGTAAAAGGAAACAGAGGAAGGATCCAGGAAGCAAAGTTGTGGATACAGGTATAAGCATAGGTGTGTACATGTCAATACATTAATTCATAAAAACAGAGGTATTGGCCTAAATACGTATATTTATAGGCTAATACACTAAGATAGTGTATTAGTGTAATACACTAAGACAGTCTTCGGACCTCTGCTCATACCCTCACTCAATGCAAGAACACTTTTGTTCTAACAAACTGGCATTCTGGCTCACCTTCCTGGCACGATAGCCGAAGACAAAATGGGTACATAAGTAAATGAGGTGAAGAAAGCGGATGGTGCCCAGCTGTCAACAGATACAGCATCTGGGGTCTTTACATTTCTTGATAATGCAGTCTAGTACCTCCCAATCCTTCAGATCCTCAAGAACTCCTCTACAATGTTCACTCCATGCCCCACGCATTGCTTGTGATGCTACCATTCCTTTATGTGTGAAATGGAAAGGAATGACATTACCAACCTCACAGTGGCATTGTCATGAGGCTAAACTGGGGCCATGCGTGTAGCGATAACCTGTGGATGCGGATGATCACCCATTTCAGTGCTGTGGCCCCATTCTGTTTCTTTTTGCATTCCTATGACATACATCAGCACCGGGCATGCAGCAAAGCTTAGGTGTTATTGTTATGGCTATATACGTGGAGAGAGGATGTGGAACTGAACATTCGTGAGTGGCAACCATATGCCAGACACTGTGTCCTTTACACAAAGTCCTATGTGCTCATTCTGTAAGTCCATGAGGTGGACTCAGTCATGCCCAATTTTCAGATAAGAAAACCGAGACTCAGAGAGGTGGTGAGACTCCTGTCTCCAATGCTGGGATTTTTATATCTCCAAAGCCGCCCTGCCCTTTCCGCCCTGCCCTTTCCGCTGCACTTGGCTGGCTTGTGACTGGACACATGGGGTTTCATAGTGTTTCTTGCCTTCTCTCTCAGTGCTGCTGCTCCCACCTTGATGGGCATTTGTTTGCTTTGGGTGTGTGGAGAGTTCTGAATGGGTGCGGTTTCTCATTAGGTTGTGGCTGCTACAACAATGTCGTTCCACCTAGGATGACTTGTATTTGAATAGATTTCTCAAGGACCCCAAACCAGCAACACCTGAGAGAAGGCACCTCTGACAGTGGCCCTGCTGACAGAGACCCCGATCGTGTGGGAGGGCTCCCTCTGGGACCCCCTGTCCAGCCGGCCCTGCCTGGGGAACAGCATCTGAAATGGTGACAGCCTGAACTGCCCTTAGCTGCCTGAGGGTCTGCCTGGTACCTTCCAGGGCAAGGGAAACCTGTGTATGAGCCTCGGGGCAAAATCCTACACTGAAAGGGGGAAGAGTCGATGCTCGGAAAGTGCTCGAAGACAAAACGGAAATCCCAGAGGGTTCAAAACAACAGCAGCAATAACAACATGTTCTCATAAACTAGCTGTACCAATTATTTTGTCTTTATGCTATTTCTTTCCAGAAAGGATGTAAAGCCACTCACAAGAATTCATTCCCGCAATAAAATACTGATAACATAAAAATAAGAATGGAAAGCCAGGAGCAGGGAAATAAAAGTCAATGTAGAAAGTCCACATTTGGAGCGAGACTATAAGCCATAAGGGGATTTGCCATTTCCAGAGTGAATTTTTAATTTGACACTGAGCTTCCTGGGAGCCGAAGTAAAATGGAAGAATGACCGCCACAGGAAAATCGCATGTAGGTTTTTTAGGGAAAGCAATGCTCTTTTACCACCTTAAAAAACGACAAAAAACAAAACAGTGTGTAATTTCTTATTTTGAAATAATGTATGGCTTACAAGCAGTTGCAAAAACTAGTGCCGGGAGCTCTCCTCTGCCCCTCTCCCTAATGACCCTCTCTTAGAGCACCTTGCACCGCACCCCTCAGGGAGGAGACCGGCGCAGTCCTCTCGGCTCACACGTGGACTTCACTCCCCTTTTGCAAGTCCTCACATCGAGACGCGTCTGTGAAATAAGTCCCGGAGACTTCAGAAATCAGTCCCCCGATGGAGGAGGTGATTGGAAGTACCATGGCTTGGGGCAGTTGAGCCTAAAGTGACATCGTTTTCTTCACTTTAATGAAGCCGTGTGTCCACAGACTCACCCAACGCAATACATGATTCGATTGTCTGACTTCCACCTCCTTAGGCCCTGGTTGTGGATCTGAGTGAAAGGAAAACTCTGACAACTTTTGTCTTTACCCTGCGTATCCTGATGCTGCCTGTTGGTCCGGTCGTGAGAGTGGTTGTCTTCTTGATGCTGAGATGTGATCCATCCATGCATACTACAGGCTATAGCATCTGTATGGGTTGTAAGCCCTCTGGACTTTCAGAAAGCAGGCTTGTGTCCTCGGTCTACCACAGGCTGTTGATGAGTCTTCTGCCAATCCGGATGCAGCCTTCTTCTTTTGGTCCAGCTTCTTAGGACATTTGCCTGCATCCAGATTGATAGAGACCGTGAAAAGATGTGCACATCTTTCCTGATTTCAAAGCAGGCAATCTCCCCTCGTTCTGCTTGAATGACTGTCCCTTGGTTTATGTAGGTTCCACAAGAGTACCACCAACATATTTTTTCATACACATAACACGCATAACATACATAGGAGACTACTATGTAAGGTGGTTTTGAGTGTGTAATGTGCATTGTTTACTTCGAATGACAGTGAGTGTCCTGAATTTCCATTTCTTCACAGTGTTATCCAAACTATGTTGTGATTCCCAAAGTTGGATGCCTTTGTACAGTCAACAAGGTCAGGTCAACATCTTTCTGAGATGTGATATCAATGCTATTATTGTCTGATCATTCCTCTGTTCTTTTGGATCACATTTCTTTGGGCAAAAATAAGGACATCTTCTCGTTGGATGGTCAGGCAGCTTATCTCCCGAAACAATGTATGTGGTACTCTGTCACTTGCGGAGCCTTGCTTTCCACCAATGCCTTTAGCACGGCTTGGACTTGT